TTGCCTTCGCCTCGGATACAACCGCCAGCTGCGTCTCTCTATATAGAATTATATTGAGGAACTTCTCTGGGTGTAGTAGTAGCCGTTGAGACGCTGAGTCGTAGATGCCTGGGGAGAGGAGAGAAAGCTGCCTCGTGCTGAGGTTTCTTCTTTCAAGTTTATTAAATATATTGCATAGCATGAAGGTCCTTCTTTGTCTTTATAAAGAGGAATCCTCGCTAGAGAAAGGGGGGAGTTGCACCGTTGTAGTTTGAGTTAGACAACAGAAGATCTACAGCTTTCTGGTATCCTGGTGAGGGATTATGAAGGCTAGAAGGATGAAGTTTTCTTTTTATATTTTTTAAAGTGATTCCGTGCATGTATCTAGTCTCAGCCCCCCATTGCAACTTTCGTGTATATACTACCCTTTTGTATTTTTGTTTGGGGGGCATGCAGTTATGTTAATTGAAGCGTAATTGTGGGTTTCTTTAGCTTGTCTACCGTCTAGAATTAATATGTTAAACTATTTATTTGTGATGAGAAAAGTTTCTAGCCTTGAACAAGAAAGACAGAATGCAGCACAGGTGTGGGGTGTTCGTGTTTCAGGTGTATCGACACCGCAGCCGCCGCAGCAGCAGCAGCGTTGGTGAGTGGAGCTGATGAAGGAATTTTTTTTTATTCTTTTCTTGTATTTTCATCTTTTTTTACTGAATTTGTTGCAGTAAAAACGTTTGTAAAAATATATAAAAATAAAGTGAAGAGATGATGCCGACCGCACGGACGCCGCCCGAGTTCGTGGCCTGTAGGAGAGGTTTGGTAAGCGTGATGAATATAAATAATTTATTCTTTTTTATTTAATTTATTTAATTTGGGTATAGGTTTCCATCGATATATGAAAGTGTTTGCTGCATTTTTTTCTCGCTTTCGGCTGTACACCATGGCGCTGTACGTACACTCCGTCTGGTTACAAGCCGGCGACAAGTAGAAGGAAATCCTTCTCAGCAATTCATTTTCATTTCTTCTTTTCTTTTCATTGCTTGAGGCTTTATTGTAGATGTACCCGCAGCTGTCACGCACCAGACGAGCTGCATATGTGCTACTTTTTTTCTCGGCGTAAACCCTAAACCCTAAACCCTAAACCCCAATTTCTTTTCTTTATTTCTCTCTTCACACTTGTGTAGAGAGTTTTTAAAAAAAAAGAAAGCAAAAAGCATCTCTGTTTTCCCCTCTGGTGTCTGTACACCTCAATCTGAGGCACAG